GAAAGGGTGCTCTAGATGCACTGGGAGGCGTGGTAAAAAGGACGGTTTGGCGAGAGGTAAGAAGTAAAAATATTGAGCTGTCAAATGCCCATGACTTCTTTGAATGTGCCAAAGGGCAATTATCAACTTAATATATGTTTGTGCTGAGGATGTTGAAAATATAAACGAGATGCTGGATAAAAGGTGGGCTAATGTTAAGAAGATTCCTTTTATCCAATCAAAACACTTTTTTATGAAATTAAGCTCCAATTCGTTGCAAACCGCTCAAACAAGAAATTCCAGTTACGAATCATGTGTTGTATTTAAGTAGTGGCATATTTTACTGTTCAATGCAGAGTTTATTTGTTTAGAGAAGTTTTTGGTTGTTTATTTGAATTAAATTGAGAAATAAAAGATTAGCATTTTGGTGGAACTTTTGTAGCGTCCGTCATGTAGCGTCCATCATCACATATTTCATGTACTTATATATGAGTACATTAGATGCAAAACTCGGTTTTTGCACATTTTAAAAAAATATATTTTTTATCTTATTTATGTTCATAACTGCACTGCCCACAGCATAACTAAGTAAACCAGATGCATAAGTTAATATTTGTAGAATAAAATACATTTATAAACTTACCGCAGCTGCAAAACTGGGTATTTGTCGGATGCAAAACTCGGTATTTGACCAATCACCAATCACGTCGCTAGTATACGCATTAACTGACGGCATAACAATCACCTGATTAATTGTTATTTTTTTGGTATTTGCACTTTTCACTTGCAAAACTTGGTCTTTGAACGAGGAAGATGCAAAACTATGTTTTTAAATCTTTTGATTTCAATTATTTACTAAACTACTTAATTTTAAAGGACTTTTTTTTACTTTTTTGAATAAGAAATGATGCAAAAGCACGTCTATACGATTTTTGTATTTTTTTCTTCAATTATGACCTTATGAGCGGTTTTTCGTGTTTTTCTTAAAATCACTTATTCTGCAAATACAGAGTTTTGCATCTAATGTACTCATATTATCTATTAAACTAAATACAAAATAAAAATAAAAAAATATTTATCTAGTCCAATGCTTAATATATTATAATAAAGTTTAAATTTTCTTTTATCAATTTGCTAATATTCAGGTGAAACATAAAATAAATTTATTCCACTTCCATTTTTTGTAGCGTCCGTCATCTAAGTTTAAAAAGTAAAATCTTGGAATCCCTAAATGTCAGATAATTATTTTATATGTTATTTTTTTTACCTCATCTCCACTTTCAATTTTTAATATTAGCTTTAAAATCAGTTTTAGTTTTTAGGCATTTTTTTAAAATATTTTACAAGATTTTGGTCAAATGGTAGCGTCCGTCATCATGAAATGGCTGAATACATTCGTTGAAAACTCAAATAGAAATTTCTCGAAAACTAGCCGACAGATTTTTGAAAGAATTACATTATTAAGAATTAAAATACCTTTAGAACGATATGGCACTCAACCCCCCTTACTATTAAGATTTTGTGGGCGGGCGCGGTGGAGCGCGTAGGGGTGCGGGTGGGGACGTAAAGCGTGCATTAAAATTCGTCCCCCTAGAAATAAAAATTAAAGTGTCCAAGGAATTTTGTCGACATTTACCAGTTAAAACGTTTGGGGGGTACAAGTTTTCGTTGGAACACCCTGTATTATGAATGTTATACTGTGTTTATTTAAAAGTTCAATATATTTTATAATTATAAAACAGATTTTTAATTGTAATTTCAAGAGATAAAAAAAATAAAAAAGTCTTTATTTTCTCTTGTTAAACATAAAATATTCAATGATGCTCTTCGTTTAGAAGGCGACACTTGTTTTTTTTTTCCTTTTTAGAACGACTTGTGTAAGATGCAGACAAAAGAAGGAAAATATAAAATGTCATGGTAATGTTTAAATTTGTACCGGTTTCAAACTTAATATCTTAAGTCATAAGAAAATTGTCTTTGGGGACAAAAAATTACAAACTTATTTTTACTAAAAAACCTGTGGAAGAGATTGTTTGTGTACTTTTTTACTTTTGTAGAAGCGCAAAATAAAAAGTGAACAAGACACTTTCTTGTTTTAGAATACTATTAAAACTTTTATTTTCTTTTGAAATAATCATTAATATTAAAGTTTTATTCTTTGTAACTTAAATTTATATAGCATACATGAAGCACATCGTAAAGCAAGTCGTATTTTCAGGTGAGATGCATTTCTGGCAAAACGCTTTTTAATTAAATCAAAAAAGAAAATGTACTTTTATTTGACTAAAGAAATATTAGAGTTAAAAAACCATTGGCATCTCACTTTTATGGTCTTATTCAATGTCAAAGTCAATGTACTAATTTCTAATAAAACCTCACGGGTTACTTTGACAACAGCAATGGTTATTTTTGTCGCATTAATCAGTAGTGCTAGAAACTGTAGTGAGCAATATTCTGCACATTAAATATTATTTCTATTAGTTTATTGAGTGCATTACTGTGTTCAAGGCAACTGTATCTGTTACTGCAGTAAAATATGTATATGTATCAGATACACTGCAGTGTATCTGTATCTAGTTACAGATTTTGTTAAGTAACTAAATATTGAAAATGAAGTAACTGCTACAACACTGGTCACAGCTAATAAAATAAATACTAAAGGTTTTAAAAAGTAAATTCATTAGCATGCCTTTTTTTAATAATTTTTTTGAATTTTTTACTGTTAAATAAGTAAAAGTTATAATACTTTCTTAAATTTTTTTTAATTGCCGCAACTTTTTTTTTCTCGAAAAAAAAACAATTTTAGCAATTTGACAGTGAGGTAAATATTGCAAAAAAGAATCAGAACAAACTGCGTTAGTAGGCTCAAGGAAATAGCTATTTGTGTATTAAGAGCGCAAAGTGATATACCGTACCTTCATTTGTAAGCTAACCATAGGGAAAATACATTGTAACTGGACCAGATAAGTCTTAGTCAGCACGAAGCGAAAAACGTTGTAGAAATGATTTGGACGCTTGGACGAGTAGGCTAGCAGGCGCCGTAACAGTTGACCTTCCTTCATACATCGATGCTTTATTATTGTTTTTTATTTTGTGCGGTGTAAATCTGGTAAAATTTGTTTTAGTACGCATGTCTCGACGACGCATCCAAATCATTTCTGAAAAGGTTCTCGCTTTTTGTTGACTGCGACTTATCTGGTCCAGTTACAATGTATTTTCCCTATGGTTAGCTTGCAAATGAAGGTACGGTATTGTCGCTCTGAGTGACACATAGCGGCAATGTCACTTTGCGCTCGAATTACAGACAGGATTTTTTTTATAACCGGTATTTTTATAAAAATTTTATAATAATAATTAATAATTATTGACACAAAAGTCAAATTTTAGGCTATCAATAATTATAATTATTGATAGCCTAAAATTTGACTTTTGTGTCAAAAGTCGCAGTGTATACACTAAATAATAACTAATCGTCTAGGATATATACTAGACGATTAGTTATTATGGTTTTGATGGTAACTGAGCGAGCGTTTTGGTTACTTTGTCGCTCAGCAAGCGACAAAGTAAAGACACGCTTGCTCCTCGGAAAAGTGCAACTTTGCGCTTTCTTTTGGAAGCGCAAATTTGTACTTTTTGCTCGGTTGTAGAATATTATATTCTGTAACAAGTTTGGAATACAGCTCGAGTGAAGAGTTTGTCACAAGAGTCGAAGGCGAGTTTGACGGTTTCACGAGAGCGGAATATGCAATTCCAAACGTGTTTCAGACTACACTTTTTCTACGTTTCCAAAAAATACCATAGAAAAATAATTTAATTGAAAGAAAGTGAGGTTGGATCGGTCTAAAATTTGTTAGACATTAAAAACAGAGATGTCGCCACGAGTGTTTATTCTGTTATCCGATGATAGAATATTTCATTCTGTAACACTTTACGGGATATAATATATTCCGTAAAGTGTTACAGAATGATATACATATTATGTCATTCCATAGAGAAAAGTGATATTAGAACGGTCAAATTCCGTAATAGGAGTAGAAAAAAACTTTTTTTGTAATCCCACTAAGAACTAAAATACATGTTAACTATACTACTATATTGATTTGAGATATTTACCCTTTGATCAGTTCGATTTTGCCTTTCGTGTGTATCGCTCGGTGAAAAAGTGTGAAAAATAGCTGACTTTGACCCAGGACGGACAAAATTGGATTCCGGGAATAGAAATATTCCTGGATCTTTGTACAATATTTCAGCGAGGTATTTTGTGATTTGTACACGAGAATTAGTGGATGATTCAAGATTGGAAAATTCACATGTCTGTGGGTGGATGGCTTCGTGAAGCGCATGGACGTTAAAACTTGTTTCTGGTCAAAATGGTACATTGAAACCGAGACCATTAAGGCTTTTTGCCACAAATAAAGAATAAAAAGACCCTTTGATATTATTTGGCTTGTTTAACACTTCGTAGCTACATAAGCTACTATTCTAATATTTAAATGCACATAATTGTTAAACCACCCATCGAATTAACTCAGTTTTGAAAGTCGCTTGGGATAAGATTCTTTGGATCAACTGATTCTTATGAATTCACTTCCTTAATAATTCTGCATTCTTTTTCAAAACCTTTCCCTTATTGAACACAGTCGTTATCATTATCATCTGGCAGAAAAAAAATGAACTTGATACTTAATACTGATGATAGGTGGAGTTGAGACCGCGGTCGCGACTACAATTTTTTTACCAAAAGTCACTATTTCAGGTGTGGCCCGATGAAAATTTTTTAAACCCCCTATAACACTTAAAGTAACTCTAGATAGTGTGCTACGTATTTTAAAAAACGGTTTTAGGTAGGTGTAGTAAAATCAAAACTAATTAAGATTCCATTGACCCCTTTAGAGATAAAGTTTAACGAAAAAATGCAATATTTATCGCTTTAATCACGAGTATGTCAATTAAAGAAAATAAATAAATAAAATAAAATTATTTTTCACAATCAGTTTAAATGTTTAACGACAATACACAAAATGCGCGCCACGAAGGTTGTCCTTTTAATTTTAATTTCAGTGGCGTGTACTGGTGCCGTTGATGTAAAATATTTAAGCAAAGTTCAGACTTTGGTAAAACAATATTTAAGTGAATTTAGCGTTAATAGTACCAATAAATGTATAAGATATGTTGCAAGTTTGCCAATTTCTTCCAAGTTAATATGTAAGTTTCCTTCACACTAACAAAAACCTTTTCCAGATTTAGAATAATTACTTATTTTTATTTAGTGTGTATACTAATTTAGTAAGAAGTTACAAAACATAAAAGCATAAATTATATTGTATTATTTCAAAATATAATATCATCCTTTATTATAGTATTTGATTCAAGTGCAAAAGTTCCCAATGGAATTCTCAACCTAAATCTCAATGATTTAGGAAGTTACGACGAGTGCTTAAACATTCGTGAAACAATACACAATGAAACACTTAATGGAAAATATTGTTTGGGCACTTTTAAATTTCAACTTGGAGAACTTTATAAACAGGTACGAATAGATAAGAACATAAATAAGGTCGTTCATATCAAATTAAAATTTAAGTAGGTTAATGAATGCGTATACGACATTTTTTGGTGTACGGTTCAAATATTTAAAATAAGTTGCAAAATATAATCAAAGTTTTGCCAGGGGCGGCTCGTGGGTGTATAGGAGGGTAAGTCTACATGAGGTTAATTTTTCCTAAATACGAATAAATTTCCACGTCACCCGGGAGGTATTATTCTGCGACTCGTTGACCTTTTTTTAAAATGGCCGATAGCCCTACTAAATCATTATAAATAAAAAAAAACTAAAAAAAAACAAAAAAAATATCAAATCCAAACTGCGAAACAAAAATTCGTTTTTTAAATCTTTAAAATATATTTATATCCACAGAAAAAAATCTAACATAGTACCAAGAACAGCGCTGTCATTGAATGCATTAAAATTGAAGCAATCTAAATTGTTATTTGCTCAATTAATTACTATTAAACCAAAATAGGGAAATATTTTGCCTAAATGTAAAAGAATTTATTGCGTTAAATGTATACATAGTATTCATGCAATAGTAACGTTATTAAATAAATCAAATTAGTATTTAATGCAATAACATTCTAACATTCTAACAAATAAATATCAATAAGAATATCAATAGATGTAGGAGCTATAACTTTTGTTGTTAATTAAAAAACTGTAAACGATTGTAAACCAAGTGCTAGCTACCTATTGGTATTATAGGAACTGTTATTCAGGAATACGGATTACAAGATCCCATTGGTTTAATGGCTCACCCATTCATGCTATGCTAGCGTTTTTTTGTGTGGAGGGATAAAAATATAAAACAAATAAAATATCAGAGCAATCGGAATACCCACTCCATGAACTGCAATTGTTTTTGACGCGGCCCAATAAAATACAATGACAACAAATAAGCTTTGTTTATAAATACTTATGCATGTCCACTTAATATAAAATTATTTAAAAAGTTCGTAAGTATTGCTTACCCTGCCTCTTATCGTTAAATATTGATAACATTTTTGGTGTTGGAGGACTGCCCAATATCTTCCTTTTTTATTTTAGTTTTTTCTTAAAAAATGCGTTTTAATTATTGAGACAATAATGTAATTAAAAAAATTAAAATATTAAACTAAAGAAAACTCACAGGTATTTTGAAAACCTAACCTTAATTAACTTAATACAATTTATTGCTTAATAAAAACTGCTAAATCATCTGTGTAGTGTGTTCCCCAGTGCACCATAATAATAAAATAAGAAATTACAATAATAGAGACAAAAACTATAAAAGATCAGCCAAAACTTTTAAATAATTTAATCTGAATCAAAACAAGAACCTACTGAATACAGGCTTGAAAGCACTCCAAAATTCCCACCGTGTGAAAGACTCGGAATCATCTACGGTCATGTGATATACCACCAATTAGAACAACCCAAGCTTATATTATTTCGCCTCAAAGCAATAGAAAAACGCGAACAGTTCGCGGCAAACTTGCGGAAATATTTCGCATTTAAATAGGAGCTTTTGAGGCTGTGAATAATTCGCCTCTGTCCAGCCGACTCTCAAAGATGTAGTGGGTTTGACCGCGTAAACTTGACCCACTTTGCGCCTCTATTTTTATTTAGTATAATTGAATGTTTTTTTACCCTTTATTGGGTAGAACTTTTGTAAAAATCCAGTTGTATTAGGCAAACAGTCGTTCGTTCCTTCATTTTAAGGGTGAGTCGAGGCCTCAGAGGCCTACCCTGACGAGCCACCACTGAGTTATGCAAAACTAAGCCATACCTAATTATTAGTCAATACTTTAAACCTTTTTATGTGTAATAATATATTTTGTTGTTGTAGTTTAGTAGTTTTCAATCAGTTTTGGAAGAAAATAATAGAACAGAAGATGCTAATATAGCATTAAGCTTTTATCTAGGTTATTGCTTGTTGGACGTCTGTAGCCCAGAAGATTTTCACACAATTTTACCCTGGGCTACATTTGAAGATAAATATTGCTATTCCAAAGCAAAAGAACATGATTTCGATACATGGGATATAACAGCTATGTAATAATAATAATAATATTAATTGATAATGGAAAAAAAACATAACATTAATTTAATATTTTAGATTTATATTTGCTTTTTTCGCAGCAATTGTTTTATTGTCAACAATATATGATTTATATTTATATTACACAGAAACAAGTAATCTTCTTTAACATCTCTAAAACCTAACCTAATATTAAACTTTGTAGAACCCTCTTATATTATACTTATCGCATTTTCCCTGTGGACAAACGGGAGGAAAATATTCACACCAACTTCAAGTTCGGATCAGCTAACTTGCATAAACGGTATTAAAGCTATTAGCATATCATGGATAGTTTATGGTCATGTGAATTTGTATCTGCTTTATTTTTCTGTGGACAATCTAAAGGATATGGTGCTCTATTCCAAAGATAAAAAGAACATGCACATTATGGCTGCCTCGTTGACTGTTGATACTTTTTTGGCTGTTGGTGGGTTGTTGCTGGTTTATACCATTATAAAAGCAAGTGATAAAGGACTTAAACTTAATGTTCCAATGATGATTCTACATAGATATTTAAGGTAAGGAACCAAACAGTAATCATTTTACTATTTGATGGATTTGTGTTGGCAAAAATGTGGCATTTCCAGTATTGTTAAATTGTTGAACAGAGAACAGAGAACTTAAATTAAAAGCCTTTATAAAATGGCTAAACTAAATAACGCACCACGAATTACGAAATTAAAACAAGGCAATCTGTGAAAAACTGGTTTTGGAGCTTTCTCTAGCCGACGCGTTGCGCATGACTACCCTTGTGATTGTTATCCTTGGCCGTTAATTCTTATGCGATTTTTAATTTTATCAGTGGTTTACCCCTCGCATTTTAGTATTACCATTAAATTCGGTGCTAATGTGCTGGAGAAACCGCCACTGGGCATTACGAGTATTTTCGGGATTAGTTTCCAGAGTGTAAGAAGTTAATTATCTAAAACACTATTAGCTGGGTCTCCAAAAATTATTAATAAAATTTCTAGAATTTTTTTAAAATGAAGTTAAAAACACACTTATGTGTCTCCAACATCTTTTTTCAATTATCTCTTTTGGTATTTTATAATTTTTTAAATAAACATGCATTTAAAATTAATTATTTTAGGTTGACACCCGCCTTAGCAGCAATGCTACTGTTTCAAAGTACTCTGTTTCGATATGTCAGTAGTGGTCCCAATGCTGGTGCAGTAGACGACCTTATTAAACCTTGTAGAACTTATTGGTGGTCTGTTTTACTTTATGTTCAGAACTGGTTTAATGTAAATGATATAGTAAGTATTTATAAGTATATAATAAAACCTTTTCAGCCATCAAGCCAGTTTTTAGAATTTCAAGTTAAAAAATAGTATAATTTTTTTTTCTTCAAAACAATCACAATATTTTTTTTTCTAGTGCATTGGCCAGTCTTGGTACCTCTCCGTGGATATGCAAATATTTATATTAACACCATTGGTTTTAATACCTTTAATAAAATGGCGAAAACTGGGCATAATGCTTTTAATTGGTTTGACTATAGCTGGAATTGCAATTCCATTTGGTGTGACCTATGCATTGGACCTAAAAAGTTCAATGGCAGCTGATGAACAGTATAATTGCTCTATGTTAACAAGAAACACTAAAAATTACTAATAATTTTAGGCTGGATTCTTTTGATTACATGGACTACTATTACGAGCAATCTTATGCCAGATTTGGGCCTTATGTAATAGGAATGATTTTTGGTTATATTATTTACATGTTGAAATATAAAAACTTGAGCGATGGGAAGTTATCATCCAGTAAATTAATGGTAAGTAGAACAAACTTTTTATAATTATGTAGAATAAATACTTCATGCAGATGATATCCCAGATAAATGGTAGATTGATATTTAAATAATATATTGTATTTGTTTACATGATACTGGCTTTATGGTGTATATCTCTATGTGGACTTTTTGCATGTACCTATGGAAATGCAGGGGTTTTTACTGGTTCTACAACTGATATAATATCGAGATCATTTCATAATGGTTTAAATAGAAACGCCTGGGCTTTTGCTGTGTGTTTAATAATATCTTTATGTGCACTAGGATATGGAGGTAAATAATCTAGTTTAATTCTTCCACCGTAAAGTAAACCTTATAGTCTAAAATCCCAAGTAAGATCCACCTTCACCCATCTGCTTACCAGATGAAAATTATATTTTATCAAATAAAATATGTTTCTGAATATAAACCAATAAGGTTGCCATAAAAAATATAATTTATTTTTTAAATTTCACCGAACTGCTTGCTAAATGAACGAAATTCCAATGAAAAGCATACAACATACAGAATATGTAACAGCTAGGTTGCCTACCTTTTTTCTGGTCCCTAAAAGAGGCATTTTCCTCCCTCGCTCGGGGGTGGAAAAATAAGTTTTCTAGTAAGGTAGTAGAAAAAATGTATATGCTTCTTCCGACCTGGAAGACAGTTTTACTTCCGGTAATTCTGATCCTGAATAATGTTATATTATTAAAATATTTTTGAATTACTTTTTTCTATGTATCTATTGTTTAATAATAAAGATTTTAAATTTTCATACTAAACATGTGTTGATAAATTTTTTTTTCGAACAATGTTTTCTTTATCTTAGCTGTATCTTGATTTATTCAAAGTTTTTCAATTTTTGGCATACTAATTTAAAATAATAGTTTTTAAAATCTTTTCCATTAAAATCAATCACAGAATCATTTGTGTCAAGGCGTATTTGTACAAATTGGCAAGACTGCCTAGAACGTCTTTCCCCTTTCTCTCTGGAATTAAGAAGGCGATCTGTATGAGACATATGTCACGTCGATTTGTAAAAAAAAACTAAAAAAATAAAGGTGTTTACAGTCCACATTCGTTTAAATGTTACAAACAAAACATTGGTCCATACGAATCGAATAATTAGTGACGGTTATATAAAGTCTAGATCAGCCGAAAAAGCAGAAAAATAAAATTGTTGATCGATTAGCAACAAGCCGTTTTTTGAGAATCGGAAGACAACGACTGGAGTTGGATCGTTCCACCACGGGTTCGTCAAAAAGGGTTAGTGAGGTGAGAGAAATTAATTAATAAAAAGTATTTTTTTGTCTGTATTGAAAAATGTCCGAAGAAACAAATTTAAAGGCAAAAAAAACTTCATTGAAAAGTAAAATATCTAGATTCAAAACGTTTATTGACAGTATTGACAAGGATGAATTAAATGTCGAAATAATCGCGGAAATTGAAACTAGGTTAGAGAATATTGAACCTGGACTGAATGAGTTTAGTGAAATTATTCTACAATTAGGTGTTTTAATTAATAAGGTCGATGAACTTGAACAAGAAGAAGCCGAATTTGAAAAAAAATATTTTGATGTTGTGGGTAGAGCTAAAACCTTGCGCAAAGCTTTTTATAATGAATCAGAAAAAAATGCGGCGCAGGTTCAATATGCTACAGGCTCAGCAAGTATTAATAATAGTATAGCAAATGCAAGTATCAAACCATCAATAAAATTGCCCCCCATAACCTTGCCGACGTTTAATGGGCACTATTGTTCTTGGCTGGAATTCAAGGACACATTTACAAGTTTAATTGATCAAAATGAGTCCTTGAATGAAACCCAAAAGTTTTTTTATTTAAAATCGTCTTTGGATAAAAATGTTCTTGAAGTAATACAATCAGTAGAGGTCACAGCAAATAATTATAAAATTGCTTGGCAAATTTTAGTGGATAGGTTTGAAAATAAGGCTTTGATGGTCCACAACCATATCCAAAGTATTTTTGAGCATCCTAAATTAACTTCTGAATCACACAAAGGTTTAAGAAATTTATATGATACAGTAACTAAGCATTTACGGTCACTTGAAAGTTTAGGAGAAAACACAGATTCATGGGATAGATTAATAATTTATATTTTAGCAAATAAATTTGATTTAACAACACGGCGCGATTGGGAAGAATTTAAATGCGAAGGTAGTTTACCAAATATGAATGATTTAAACAAATTTCTTAAATCAAAGTGTGAAACATTAGAAAAAATCGAAATAACATTGCAAGAAAAGAATAATGTATTTAATAAAAATAAAAGACCTGGTAGTCATGGGTTTACGGCAATAACAAATGATGTCAAATATCAATGTTACCATTGTAAACAAAACCATAGTATTTTTAAGTGTGAATCATTTTTAAATCTTTCAGTAAATCAAAGAATTGATGCTGTAAAAAAATTAAAGCTTTGTTTAAATTGTCTCCGACCATCACACCCTTCTTGGAAATGTAAACTAAATAAATGTTCAAAATGCCAAAAAGCACATAACACAATATTACATTATAATACCTTAAATAATAATAATTCAATAGCCGGTGCTACAATCACTGGTGCAAATAATTCTAGCGAAGTTGTAAACGGCGACAAGGCGGAGCCACCAGCAAAGGCGCAAAGTTTTGCGGCACATGCAAGGCCGTTTGAGGTTGCCACGTCTTGCAATAATTCCCAAGTATTGCTTTCGACAGTAATTATTAAAATAAAATTAAATAATAACGAATTTAAATGCCGTGCTCTGTTAGATAATGGTTCTCAGAGTAATTTTATAACTGAAAGCTTTTGTAAAAAATTAAATTTGCCAATAAATAAAGTACAGCATGCAGTTAAAGGTATTGGGCAAACTTTAGCTAATATAAATAAAAAAGTTAACATTGAAATAAGCTCAAATATAAATAATAATTTTAAAAGAAAAATAGATTGTCTAGTTATTAATAAAATTACAGATAACTTACCGCTCTTTACATTTAATAAAAATGATTTAAAAATCCCTTGTAGCATTGAATTAGCTGATCCAAATTTTAATATTTCACAGGAAGTTGATTTTTTGTTAGGGGCCGAAATATTTTGGTCTATTTTAATGCCAGAGCAAAAATCGCTTGGAAATAAATTGCCTATTCTCCAAAATACATTATTTGGATGGATAGTTGCAGGTAATATGATAATTAATAATCAAACGAATATGTCAGTAAATTGTTTAAGTACCGTTCAAGATTCTTGGTTAGATAACAGAATTTTGCAATTTTGGGAATTAGAAGAAATAAATAATAAAAAAAAGATATTATCAGAGGCTGAAAAATACTGCGAAACATTTTTTGAACAAACTAAAGGTAAAGATAAAGAAAATAGGTTTATTGTAAAAATACCATTTAAAAAATCGGTTTCTAATTTAGGAGTTTCTCGTGATAATGCTTTACAACGTTTTTATGCTTTAGAAAGAAAATTAAGTAAAAATATTGAATTAAAAAATGATTATGTCCAATTTATGTCAGAATATTATACCCTTAATCATATGTCTGAATTTAATGACGCCGATGAGTCAAATCAGGAAGGATATTATTTGCCACATCATGCAATTATAAAAGACACCAGTTTGACCACGAAAGTTCGAGTAGTATTCGATGCTTCCTGCAAAACCAGCAGCGGATTATCATTAAATGAAGTACAGTTTAAGGGTCCTACTTTACAACAAGATATTTTTGAAATTTTAATTAGATTTCGTACTCATAAATATGTTTTAACGGGAGATATAAGTAAAATGTACCGACAAGTTCTTATTCATGAAGATGATCGGAAATATCAAAAAATATTTTGGCGTGCTAACCCCGACGACGATTTAAGGTGTTATAAATTACACACAGTTACCTATGGGACAGCTTCGGCACCCTATTTAGCTGTAAAATGCTTATTTGAACTTGCGGAAGAAAACAAAGATAATAATTTAATTAATAAAATAATAAAAGAAGATTTTTATATGGACGATTTATTAACAGGTGCGGATACAGAGGAAAAACTTCTATATATTCAAAAAAATGTTTCAAATATTTTAAGTAAATCTGGTCTTGAACTTCGTAAATGGTTATGTAATGACAAAAATATGTTAAACAAATTTGAAATAAATAAAGATTTAGACGTAGCTATTTTATGTATTGGTCAAAATGAAGCTAACAAAACTTTAGGTGTATTTTGGGATGCCCAAGGCGACTCCTTAAAGTACAAAATAAATGTAGATACAATTAAAATTGAAAAGACCACGAAAAGATCAATTCTGTCATCCATGTCCCAAATATTTGATCCGTTGGGGATGTTGGGGCCGGTGATAGTTATTGCTAAATTAATTATTCAGGATATATGGAAATATAAATTAGATTGGGATCATGAATTACCGGAAAAGATTTGTAAACTTTGGAAAGAGTTTAAAAATACTATTTCATCAATTAATGAAGTCAAAATAAATAGATATGTCATTGATTCTAATTTTGTAAAAATTGAGCTACATGGTTACAGTGATGCGTCGATAAAGGCGTATGGCGCTTGTATTTATATACGTTGCCAGTTACAATCTGGAGAATATATTAGTAATCTTTTATGTGCTAAAAGTCGTGTGGCACCCTTAAAACCAATAAGTCTTCCCAGATTGGAGCTGTGCGCAGCGCAACTTTTGGCTAATCTTACTGATAAAGTAATAAATAGTGTTCATATTGAATTTAGTAAATTTTACTTTTGGTCCGATTCAAATGTAACTTTGTGCTGGATTCGTGGTGAAGCATCATCGTGGAAAACTTTCGTGGCCAATAGGGTCAGTGAAATACAATCACTTACTAAAAAAGAAGATTGGAATTACGTTCAATCTGGCGAAAATCCAGCTGATTTACTTTCTCGCGGTGTCAATCCTCAAACTCTAATAAATAATAATTTATGGTGGCACGGACCAAATCAACTTTTGATAGATAACAGTAATTGGAAACCTTTTGAACATCAGCAAAACGAAAATGAAATCCCTGAGCAAAAAACAATATCTTGTGTCACAAATAATGGAACAAATAAAACTTTACTTAAAAAATTATCTACTTGTTCTAATTTAATGGAAATGTGCCATGTCTTGTCTTATTCCTTCCGTTTTATAGATTATATAAAAAATAAAAATAAACGCGATATAATTCCTAAATCTTTAAAACCAGAGGAACTAAATCTCTCTTTAAATTGGTTAATAAGGGAAGCTCAAAAAGAAATTTATTCGGTTGAATTTAATAATCTATTATTAAATAAATCAGTTCCTGTAAAAAGTAAAATTTTAAGTTTAAATCCAATATTAAGAAATAATTTAATTTGCGTAGGCGGTAGATTAAAAAATGCTAATCAGAGAAACGAAATTAAATATCCAATAATTTTACCTAACAATCATTTTATAACAAAATATATTTTAGAAAACGAACACAAACGTCTTTTGCATTGTGGAGCTCAAGCCCTTTTATATTCAATCCGCGAAAAATATTGGTTAGTGTCAGGTCGTAATATGTGCAGAAGTATTGTAAATAAATGTTTAAAATGTTTTAGAGCCAGACCAAAAAACTTAAGTTATCTTATGGGCGATTTGCCGGAGGTACGGGTAAATACTTTTGGTGTTTTTGAGAATGTTGGCACGGATTATGGCGGACCATTTTATGTTAAAAATAAAAAGGGTAGGGGAGCTACCAGTAGCAAAGCTTATGTATGCCTATTTATTTGCATGAGCACTAAATCTGTGCATCTTGAACTTGTTTCGGATTTGACTAGTGAATGTTTTTTAGCGGCTTTAAATCGATTTACTTTTCGCCGTGGCAAACCAAAAAATATATATTCCGATAATGGTCTTAATTATGTAGGTGCAAATAGGGAATTATGCCAGGTTTACATTTTTCTAAACGAGAATGCGGCGTATCTTGGAAATAAACTTGCCGATGAAAATATATCTTGGCACTTTATTCCTGCAAATTCTTCTACTTTCGGCGGACTTTGGGAGGCAGGAATAAAGAGCGTAAAACATCATATAAAAAGAGTTATTGGAAATATGCCTTTAACATTTGAAGAATTCGGAACTTTTTTAGTACAGATAGAAGGTATTTTAAATTCTCGCCCTCTTTGTCCTCTAACCGAAGATCCAGACGATTGTGCAGCCTTAACTCCAGCCCATTTCTTAATCGGACGCACCATTACCTCAATTCCTGAACACAATTTGGCCGATATAGCTGTAAATCGTTTGTCCAGATGGCAGCACATTCAGTCAATGGTGCAGCACTATTGGCAAAGGTGGCAAAAAGAGTATTTGGGGGAACTTCAGACTCGGACGAAATGGCGAAGGCGTTATGAAGAAATTATAAAGGTTGGATCTTTAGTTCTTATCAAGGACGACAATGCACCTGTCCTAAAATGGCAGCTAGGACGTGTCTTAGAACTACACACTGGCAGTGATGGTGTTGTAAGAGTGATCACTATAAAGGGACAATTCGGAACTTTAAAACGAGCAATCAATCGCGTGTGTGTACTTCCTATAGACACAGAACAGTCAAAGAACTGAAACGTTATATCTAGTTTATAATTAGTTTAAGAAAGTGTTATAATAACATTGTTTTTTAGTTTAACTTGCAAATGTTGCAATAACATACATTTTGTTTTACTAATTTTTTGTTGTTTTGAAAGTTCATAGGCTATGTCCTTTCAAGGTGGCCGGTATGTCAAGGCGTATTTGTACAAATTGGCAAGACTGCCTAGAACGTCTTTCCCCTTTCTCTCTGGAATTAAGAAGGCGATCTGTATTAGACATATGTCACGTCGATTTGTAAAAAAAAACTAAAAAAAATAAAGGTGTTTACAGTCCACATTCGTTTAAATGTTACAAACAAAACAATTTGATTTGCATAAAAAATACTTCTTCGCCATTTTTTATTTTTTCACAAAACACGTGTTTACAAACTGACTGTTTGCTCCAAATTTTACAGGAGAGCGAAAACAAAATTTTGTTTTGCACTAGGAGTTATGCGGTACTAATACCTTTATTAAATGGTATTTTGGTAGTTTTAACTCCAAACATAATTGAAGGTAAATTAGTAAGAAGATTGCAAAACTTGAATCGAAGTAAGTAAAAAACCAAAAAATTAAATTTTGGTCTTAATACCCTTTTGCTCTGAGGTACAGATATTAGTTTTATCCTTTTATATAAGTAGAAAGCATGCTGTTGTACTGGGTCCTCCTCTATCGCATCAAATAGTACGCGCAATGCTTATCTGTTATACATCTTTGCTTGCTCTATTTTTTTTTTTATTAAAAGCCTAGCAACTGTTATTTATGAACGGATTTTGAAAAGCAACCCTATACTACTGTATTCGTAATAAAATTGCCTACATTTTCATATATTTTTCAAGTGGTAAGCATATGAGTGCAATTACTGTTATCAACTTACTTGTTTGTACACAGCAACCAGGTAATAGGGACCAGAAAAAGGTAGGCAACCTAGCTGTTACATATTCTGTATGTTGTATGCTTTCCATTGGAATTTCGTTTATTTGGCAAGCAAGTAAGTGAAATTTAAAAAATAAATTATTTTTTTAATTTTTTATTTATTATAGCCATGATCATATTTTTTTTGGCAACCCTACCGGTATATGTTCAGAAACATATTTTATTTGATAAAATATAATTTTCATCTGGTAAGCAGATGAGTGAAGGTCGACCTTACTTGGGATCCTCTACTATTAGGACATATATTTAAAACTTAGTATTAGTATACTTTTTGCTACCAATAATATTTTATTTTAGGTCCAGTAAACGCGTTTCTATCATTGCCCATTTTTCAAGTTTTGGCCAAAATATCTTACGCTATATATTTGACACACATCTCCGTTATACAGATGAGACTCATGAACGAGAAGATTGTAGAACACTTTTCATCAAGGGATATTGTAAGTTATATTATACAGGGTGTTCAACCTTGCAGGGAATTGGTTTGTGATGAAAGTAAAATTGTTAAGCGTTTGTTAGACAATAACCTATTACTATGTTCTGATGTTAGAAAATATATTGAAATGTTTTATCTTGTATCTACAGCATAACATTCCTTATCTTTACAATTTGACTCTCAGCACGACCGCCGCGGTGCGCCCCGCGTTTCACAAGAAATGGACATGCAAAGTGCTTACACCCTTTTTGTACCCTGTATTATATTTAATTTCTTACTCATATCTTTATTTTAGATAAATGACTTTTGGGCTGACTTTATGAATACCATAATAATATCATTTTTTTTCACAGCCGTTTTTGAATCTCCTATAATAACAATTGAAAAAATTATTTTTGGTGAGAACTACATTTTGAGAGCTTTATATTTTTATTTAATTTTTTTTACAGGAAGTAAGACGCAATCAAAAAATAAGAAAACTAAATTTTGTAAATGATATATTTAAAATTATTTAGTTTATAGATATTAGCATAAACTAATGGACACAATTAAAGAACCACTTTTTAATTCCAACCTTTATAAAATTTTATAGGTGTAGTCGTTGAAATTCGTCTTCAAAACAAGCCCAAGTCAACATTGATGTAGATTTTTTTTAATGCTCTCAATACACATTTACACTACAAAACCTATATGACGCAGGTCTTTCAATTTCTCCTGTGTGCATTGGAGCCCATAACCACCTAGGACCCGGAAAGGATGTTATGCTTCCAGAGTACCAGTAAAGTCCACTTTAGTGACAACAAAAAATTTAGGTGATATATTTGCTATCGCATAACTTACTCTGCTTTTATGAAAGCATATTTTTGACTACCTCTATTTTAAGCATGAGGGGTAGTCAGGTAGTAACTTCGTCAGAGAGCTTTTCTAACATCGACCTATCTACTCCATCAAAAAACTTTACCACCCTGTAAAGCTCTAAACTAACAACTTAAAATTACCAGCTCTGGACAAAGTATACGTCTGCTGACAAAAGTAATACTTAGTTGAGGGATACGCCATAGTATCATCCATATACCTTGTTATCTCACTTTTAATTCATTAATTTTTAACCAAAGTATAACCATGGGACCCATCTGTTGGTGCTTCTGGTAAACTGGCTGTAAAGGGGCTGCTCAAGTTCTCATTTGAATAATTGGTAATGTTATGCTGAAGCATACAAAAATGCAAATCTTTAAAAAAATGTCACCTGAATTACTATAACTTTTCCCTTTAGTATTAAATAAAATATACACTTTTTTGACATGGGGGTTGTTTTCAAGACGTGTTTTAGAAACTGCTGCACCCATGGTAACGTGCTTCGGCAAATTTACTAAGCAAGCTTTGGGCTTCAAAATATTTAAAGGAAAACTTTTTAGGCCAGTTTATTTGAATTCTATAGAAATTTAAAAAAGTGTTAATTAATTAATAAATTATTTATAACATATATATTTTCTTATTTATCCCAATTTTAATTTAAACTACATTCTAAAATAGTATTAATACAGGTTGAAACACTTTTATTAAATAAAAAAATCACTTGAATAACATACAATTTATCTTAAAAGTAAAGGTAAATTTTATATTTTTTAAATTATTCCAACCTGTGAAGTTAACAAAATAAAAATAAATACTTGAAATAGCAATAAAAGTACATACAGAAAAAAACTACAAAAAAGAAAAATCACTCAACGTCACACCTTTGTTTGTACATTCAAGTTCGAAGTCTTGACGAGGAAAAAACTATCTTAACCGAGACCTAGCTGAAAACAAAAATTTTATAACCCCCCAAATAAATTACTTCTACAGTGCAAATAAAATACCTATAGTGTATTGTAGATTCCACAGTAAATTAAAGGCCACAAGAAGTGATAAGTGACATACCTGGAGGGCTAACCAAGAGTGAAAAGGGCCATTATCTGCAAAAATCGATTATTACTTTTAACTGACCGTATGTCCTTAATACGTAAATTTGCAACATTAATCACGTCCAGGTACCTACACAACCCTAAGAGCGTTTTTTTCTGCTTTTAAGCACAACTCTAGTAATACAAAACAAAGAGTAATAGCAACGTTAATTATAAGACAGCATCGACAAAATAATCCAAAAAACCATAAAACCAAGCCGTCTTAATTCTTATTGATAATAGCTGATCAGGACAAATAGATCAAGTTACAAAACCCATAAACTTAAGACCGGTACCAATAAAAAAAGTGTGTAAACTAATCGAGACAAAAATAAACATCTGGAACCTAGGAACTTATAGACTTTACGTCGAAGATGTTCCTATTGGCTAGACAATTAACACACTCAATTAAAATTTTTGTCAAGTTTAGTTAAATATTGTAACTGTTGTGTAAAGAAAAATAAAAATACATTATCCAACAAAAATCAATCATATTTAAGATTTTTTTGTTAAATTTAGTGTAATTATACACAGGAGTTATTATATTCTGTGAATACTTTAACACTAAATGAACAAATAACATATATTTAACAACGTTTTTTACAGAATATTGGTTTTTGTTAGGTAGATAATAATTTGTCCACTTTGTATTTTTCTTTACACAACAGTTAAAACAGTATGTATGCATATGACAGGAAACAAATTAAAACAACATGTTTAAAAAAATTGGTAGGTACTTTATATAATGAATATAAATAAAATTATTTAGACTTAAATATAAAAATGTTAATTCTTCCAACAACAAAGTTATACATTACAAAAACTAATAGATTGACAACAATGCCTATGTGAAAATCAAACTCATAACTATAGGGATCAGAAATCATATCTGCTGACTATAACACCGTTGTTTGATAAAATCTTCACTTAACTATTACATCAAATCGGTTGAAAAAATGTATGTACTACTTAAACCAAAAATATCAGAAGTAAACAAATTAAAGTAATAATATTGTACCCGGCAATAGGCATATCATAAGTATGCTTTTGAGTGGGAATCAAACCCAAAACCAAACAGTAAATCAATAAGGAACTTGTAATGTTTAAAGTAGGCTAAAAATAATATATTTTGTCAATTCTTCAAATATATAGGAATTTAAGTACATTTTTAACCTTGTTCTCCATGAATTATTTTTAGAAAAATAAAAAATTCATGTGTTAATTAGTTACTAAACTAATTAACTATATAGTTATATAACAATATAACGATAATTTACTGTAACAAGTAATAATTAAGTTTAATTTAGCGAAAATAAAAAAATACATCCAACATAAAATGAGTATTTTTTATCATGCAAACTATCTAAGACAAATTTTATTTAGAAAACTAATTGGATAAAAAATAAAATTTATTTAACTTAAATTCATTAAATTTCATACTCCCTTTTTGTTATATCGGTTGCCTACTTTGAGATTATGATGGGGAAATTCAAGTTGATGCAGTACAATTTTTCTACGATAGTAGTACGCTAAAAGATTTGGCAGCCGAGAGTAGTCCTCTACAAAGACTGCTAGCGTAAGAATGTTCAGATCATGAGATTGACAATCTTTTAGATCTATGATCGTAGTGAGAATTTGGAGAGAGTAACTTTGCCCACCTACTACCAATTTACAATTTTATTGGTGTCTAGGAGATAACCAGCCGCTGGTTACCAGCGCAGTATTCTGGTTATCTTACCTGCGAGCTATCTGTTTCCACAGTAGCCCCTAGAGTGCGTTCGAAATAAGAGTGTACTTTGGATATGGTATATAATCACGTGACCTTACATTATATCTGACCACAGACCACCAAAACAAATGGACGGATTTGTTTACGTTTAAAAAGAGAGTAAAGAATAGTTTCACATTCTAAACACCGTCCAAAGAAACACGGCTTCCAAGTTCCAACGTTGTCAGAAGTATAGATTACACGCCTTTTTGGACGTTTATCATAACAACATGAACATTAAAAATTACCAGTAATTCATTTGAATAATAAAAAAATTGTAAAAAGGATTTGTCCATCATTTTCTTTAGATATTTTTCTCTATTTAAAGAAAGTAAATCATTTAATAATTATTAAAATTAAACATTAACAACGTTGGTAAATTCGTCATATTTGACAGAATAGAAAAAGGTTGACAGCTTGTTGTTTTGTGTATTTCTATCGTGTTTAAGTTAATTATTGAGTTTAAATACATTATTTTTTACTAAAAACAAAAATACATGGAATTATCGTTTGTAAGTAGGGTAAAGATGCCTATTATGAGACACCTTTTTTAAAAAATCATATTTTTTTAATTTAACAATTTTCTTAGAAAAAAAAACTTTTTTCTGTATAGAATTGTATTTTAGTTTTTAAGTTAGTTTTTGTCAGAAATGTCAAATTTGCCTAACCAAAAAAGGGGTTCCTAATTTGAGACAGTATGGGTTCTCAATATGAGACTATCTCAAATAAGGGAATCAAACTGAAAATGACCTATTATTGGCTCAAACATATTTTTATTGAATAAATAGTAGAACATAAAACATAATTAGTTATAGTTTTCTCCAAAACAAAATAATATTTTCTTCTTAAAACAAATTAACATTTCTTTTTAAACAAATATAAAATAAATATAATATATTATATATTATATATATTATAATATATTATGTCTGTGGCAAAATTTAAAAAAAGCCTAGGTTTTTAACCTTAACAAAAAACAGCACAAATAAACTTTTTTTATCTTTTTTCCCCACATTGCAGATGTGCCCATTTGAAACAGGCCTGGCATTTTTCCCACTTTTCACCTCGCGTATCTTCGGAATATAAACCGGTGCAATATGAACACTCCGCATCGTCTTCCTCGTCTTCTGAAGAAAAATTACTGGTCCACGAAATAACGTCATCATCTTCGCTGGATGTTGATAATTCAGCAAGAACTTTCTTTTTTACAGGCTTTTTCCCAGTTTTTTTTCTTTCGGTGGTACTTTCCTTTGCTTCTTGCTTTGGATTTGTTTGTTTTTTCATTTTATTCGCCTCCTTTTCTTCCTTTCTCTTTAAAGCTTCTTCTATTTGTAGTTTACGGAGAAGATGTTATCAAACTAGCTGCTTTCCCTTCATATGCGACGCCTTGTCCCATAATATGAGATACCTCATATTAGGAGTTCTCAAGTGTCTCATATTAGGGTCTGAAGAAATTTTATACAGTTTACCCTAACTTAAGTTAATGTTGTTTATCATTACCATAAAGCTAACATGACGTATGTCAATTCTTCTTTTCATGCTTTTACCGACTTACCCAAACTGTATAAAATTTCTTCAGACCCTAATATGAGACACTTGAGAACTCCTAATATGAGGTATCTCATATTATGGGACAAGGCGTCGCATATGAAGGGAAAGCAGCTAACAATTGTTACTTATTTTCTATTTTTTACATACCTTTAAAATGATCGCTGCAAAAACTTTCGCGAGCGGCGCACAGTAACTTGCGGCACAGCTGACCCGTTTCCCGCGCTACGCGACTGC